GGAGGTCTCCCACTCTAAATGATTTTGTTAGGATTTTTGGTTGTTGTTTTCACAGATATATTTCTAGGTGTGGAGCTCTCCTCTGCTTTACTACTCCACTTTGTTATCGTAATCATCAGTTGTCCTTTGGTTATGAAAGACATCTTAAGTTCTATTTAGAGACATGATAGATAACAGGTCTCGGTTATCTGTTAGTCCAACACCTCGTGTGGTTGTTCGTTATCTGCTCGTCTCTGTAAGAGCAGCAGCAGCTGACAGACTGAAATTTAGTCCCCAAAGGAAGTAAGAAGTTTCTAATCCAGCTCAAAGCCACTTCAGAAGTGTGCACACAAGTAGGCATGGAGGTTCAATAAGGAAGTTTATCTCATGAGTACATGGTAGGCTGAGATGTTGTGGTGGGTCAACCCTGGTGTCCACCAAAGCTGCTCCCTTCCTCAGCTGGACAGGAGGGAGCAAATATGACAGAAGGCTCCTATGGTGAGATAAGGACAGGGAGATGTCACTCCCCAGTCACTGTCATGGGCAAAACAGTCTTGACTTGGGGAAATTAGTTTGATTTATTACCAATCAAATCAGAGTGTGGTAATGAGAAATAAACACCTTCTCCCACCCTCCCTTCTTCTCAGGCTTCACTCTTGATTTTCTCTTTCTTCTCCCTCCCAGCAACACAGGGGGAGGAGAAAGGGGGTTGTGGTCAGTTCATTAGATGTTGTCTCTGCTGTTCCTTCCTCCTCAGCAGGAGGACTCCTCACACCCTTCCTCTGCTCCAGCATGGGGCCCTTCCCATGGGAGACAGTCCTCTGTGAACTTCTCCACTGGGAGTCCCACTCCTTGGGCTGCAGTTCTTCACAAACTGCTCCAGCGAGGGCCCTTCCCATGGGCTGCAGTGCTCCAGGAATGAGCTGCTGCTGTGTGGGTCCCTTCCATGGGGTCACAAGTCCTGCCAGCAAACCTGCTCTGGCATGGGCTCCTCTCTCCATGGGTTCACAGGTCCTGCCAGGAGCCTGCTCCAATGTGGGCTTCCCATGGGGTCACAGCCTCCTTCAGGCATCCACTTGCTCCAGCATAGGGTCCTCCATGGGCTGCAGATGGACATCTGCTCCACCATGGACCTCCATGGGCTGCAGGGGGACAGCCTGCCTCACCATGGTCTTCACCACAGGCTGCAGGGGAATCTCTGCTCCAGCATCTGGAGCACCTCCTCCCCTTTCTTCTTCCCTGACCTTGGGGTCTGCAGAGTGGTTGCTCTCACATCTTCTCACTCCTCTCTCCAGCTGCAGTTGTGCATATTTTTCTTCCCTCTTCTTAAATCTGTTATCCCAGAGGTGCTGTGACCACCACTGATGGGCTTGTCCTCGGCCAGCAGTGGGTCTGTCTCGGTGCCAGCTGTCATTGGCTCTGTCTGACATGGAGGAAGCTTCTGGCAGCTTCTCATCAAGAAGCCACCCCTCTTCCTCCCCCTGCTACCAAAACCTGGCCACACAAACCCAATACAGATGTTTTCCAATATCTCTTGGTTATCTCTTAGGCAGGAGAGCTGAACTGGTGGAAGGGAAAGGAAATCCACAATGGTAGGAGGACAGCAGGACCTTCTTCAGCTGAGCATCACCAGTGTCCTCTCACAAGGCTCCTGGGAACTTGACCCAACAGGTGCTGTTGGGAGAGGCAGGTTCTGCCCAGCTCCCCCAGTGCTCCTGTGCCTTTCTCCATCTACAGCCTCTTCCCTTCTCCCAGCGTTCCATCACGTTGCTGCTTTTAGGTGAAACATCTTTGTTCATCCCCTGGCTTCACCACACATCCTCCTTCATCCCATTTTCTGCTCTTGCTTCATAACTGCCCAGAGGTGCAGGCGGATGAAAAAACCCTCAATGTGCAAAGAAGATCATTCCAACCTCTTAATCTCGAACATCTTGGTTATGGGTTGGGTTTTTTTAATGTCTGAGAAAGAACTGCTGTACGATGCCTTGGTAAGCACAGAGATTTTTATCTCCATGAGTTTTCATGAGATGATTGAACCACTAATCATGATGTGCTGGTTGAGTGCAGAGCACAGCGGGGTCTGGCTCAGCAGGCCTCCTTGGTAGGCGTTAACTCAAGCCTGAAGTGAAGACCTCAGGCAAGCGAGGATGCCAGTGGTGAGGGCTGAAAGCTGGATCTCTCAGCATCACCCAGGGCTTGGCCTCCTCTGCATGTGCCACCAGGGCAGAGCTCTGTGTTGCTGGCTGCTCCTTGCAGAGGAGGCTGCGGGGACAATCGCTGGTGTTCAGAGCTGCTCTGGGCTCTCCATCATGAGGAGCTGGGGCTGAGGTCTGCATTCTGCCACCACCAGAACTGGGCTGCTGAGAGGTGGTTCTTGCAGGGCCAGGAGAGGACATGGCTGCAAACTCACTGCTTCTCTCTGCTTAACAGGTTATTTGTGATGAGCAAACAAGCTAGATAAGCTTCACTGACATGAGTGAAGGTGACCTGTAAGTGATGATGCTCAGTCTGCTGAGCTACAGCCTTTGCCGGAGCTGGGTAGAGCCACGTTGAGTATTGGCTGCCTCTTCTGGCCAAAGACCTCTGTGCAGTTGCATGGTCACACACCCCTACGTGTCCCTTCTTTCCAAGAGAAGGAAAAAACCATCCTCTCTTGTGTGGGGTTTTTCCTCCTCTCCTCTCTGTGCCACCTCGCTGATGGTTGCCCAAGGAAGCTGTGGTTGCTCCTCCCTGGCAGTGTTCTCGGCCAGGTTGGATGAGGCTTTGAGCAACCTGGTCTAGTGGAAGGTGTCCCTGCTGCTGGCAGGGGGGTTGGGACTGGATGAGCTTTAAGGTCCCTCCCAACCCAAACCATTCTATGATTCTATGATATCTGTTGAGCTTCGATGTATTTTGTGCGTTGCAGATAATCCAAGGATTGTTTTAAGAGCACAAACTCCCAAATAGCTGAAATTTGACTGAAACCTGGAAGCCTTGAGCATCCCAGTGTGGTTCAGAATTCCCAGTAAGTCCTGGAGAGAGAGAGAGAGACAGAGACTCTACTTGAATGCTGCCAGACTATTTTTTGTGGATGAAAATACCATTTATCATCAGTTTTGAGCACATACAGGGTGTGGGTTCTCATAACCCATCTTGTCTCAGTTGTTGCTTTCACTGTTGACTTGGGTCAAGTCAGTCTGCGTGTCTCCTGCAGTTCTGACCATCGGGGTTTTACATCATCTCAGATTGTGAGAATTCTGTGTCTGAACCATTAAAAATTGAAAATGAATGGGGAAAAATATGTAAGTGTGGGTTTTTCTCCTACTTTACTGCAGGACAACCCAAATGGAGAGTCATGTCTTGCTGTGTGCAAATCAAAACCCAAAGGGGACAGTGAAATTCTCATTTTTTTTATATTTTATTATTATATTTTTATATTTTTAATTATATTTTCATATCATAACGTGGATCTGCTCAGATCCACCTCCCTTCCTGGCTGTCCCCTCCTGTACCAGGGAGATGACAGGTTTTTTCCTCCTATTTAATAATCACATTTTATTTTCATGTGCTGCTTTACGTAACTGTGGTGGCTTTAGCTGCCACCACAGCAGCTCAGACCGTGTGGTCACTCACCCATCCCATCCCTCTGGTGGGATGGAGGAGAGAAACATAACGGAGATGTTCTGGGTTGGAATGAGGATGGGGAGGGCTCGCTCACCAGTGATGGTCATGGGCAAAATGAACTTGACCTGGGGATAAAAAATCAATTTAATCTGTTACTAATCAATGAGAGTAGTGAGACATCACAACCACATCTTGCAACACCTTCCCACCACCCCTCCCTGCTTTCCAGGCTCAAGTTGCTTTGCTCCTGATTTCTCTACCTCTGCAGCAGCACAGGGGACAGGAAATGGGGGTTGCAGCCCCACATTGTCTTTGCTGCTCCTTTCTCCTCAGGGTAACAGCTCCTTGCACACTCCCCTGCTCCAGCGTGAGGTCCTTCCATGGGCTAAAAGAGTTCAGGAACTAAGTTTTCCAATGTGGGCTTCCCACAGAGTCATGGACTTCTTCAGACACAGCCCCTGGCTTTGACATGGGGACCTCCAAGGGCTGGAGACAGGTCTCCACTCTGGTGCACCTCTTCTCCCTGCTCTGGCAGGAGCATCTCTGGGGTCTTCTGCTCTGTCATGAGCCCTCCACACAGTCACAGCAGCCTTTGGGCACAGCCTCCTGCTCCAGTGTGGAGTCCTCCATGGGCTACATACGGGTGTCTGCTCTACCATTAACCTCCACGGGCTGCAGGGGAATCTCCACTCACCTCCTCTCCCTCCTTCCTCAAGGACCTGGGTGTCTGTAGTTCTCTCTCGCATCTGCCCAACTCAGGTTGTTGTTGTCTTTGTTCTTGTTGATGTTCCTGATCTGTCTCTCCCACCAAACCAGTTGTCCCCTTCATAAATATGGATCTGCAGAATTGTGTCACCATCACTGACTGGCTCAGCCTGTGGTGGAGGTGGGTCCACCTTTAAAGACAGGAAAGCTTCTTGAAGCTTCTCACAGGAGCCATCACTTGTAGCCCCTTCCCTCACCACCAAAAACCTACCTCCTGCACAAACCCAACACAATAACTCACGTGAATTTTTCATCCCTAGGCCTGAACATTCATCACCAGGTGGGATCGGTGCCTCAGCCAGGCAACACGATGGTGCTGTTCGATAACCTGTCGTGCCATCACTCCATCGATGACTTCAGAAACCGAGTCTATTCCACGCTCTACTCCATGATCAGCATTATGGGCTTTGTTGGCAATGGAGTTGTGTTGTATGTCCTCATAAAAACCTATCGGCAGAAGACAGCCTTCCAGGTGTACATGCTGAACCTTGCCGTGTCCGACTTCCTCTGCGTGTGCACCCTGCCCCTGCGGGTCATCTACTACGTCCACAAAGGGAACTGGTTCTTCAGTGACTTCCTGTGCAGGGTCAGCTCGTACGCCTTGTACGTCAACCTGTATTGCAGCATTTTTTTCATGACTGCAATGAGCTTCTTCCGTTGCGTGGCCATTGTGTTTCCAGTCCAGAACATCAACCTGGTGACAGAGAGGAAAGCTAAATTTGTCTGCATCGGCATCTGGATATTTGTCACCTTGACAAGCACTCCCTTTCTGCGAAACGGGACGTACCAACATGGCAACAAGACCAAGTGCTTCGAACCCCCAGAAGACTCTCAGAAGACAAATCTAGTGGTGATCCTGGATTTTATTGCCTTATTTCTGGGTTTCATTTTCCCCTTTATCGTCATAACTATTTGCTACACCATGATCATAAGGACCTTACTGAAAAATTCCTTGAAGAAGAACCAGGCTAACCGCAAGAAGGCGGTCTGGATGATCATCATCGTGACGTCCACCTTCCTGGTCAGCTTCACCCCGTACCACATTCTGCGTACAGTCCATCTCCATGTGCTGAGGCTGAAGAACGCCAGCTGTGAGGATGCCATATACCTACAGAAATCGGTGGTGGTAACGCTCCCCTTGGCAGCTGCCAACTGCTGCTTTGACCCACTTCTCTATTTCTTCTCAGGGGGCAATTTTCGGAAGAGACTTACAACATTTAGGAAAGCTTCTTCCTCCAGCTTAACTCAAGCCTTCCGGAAAAAGTTCTCCATAAAAGAGAAAGATGAGGAACCCTTTGGAGAAAGTCATAGGGAGAATGGGAAGGAAGCTGTGGCCCCTTCCTAAGAGGTTTAGACCTTCCCTTAAGATCTCAGATGGGCAATGGAGATCTTGGAACTCTTCCAGAAGACATGATGGAGGCTTGCAAGTCTTCATTGCAGTTAGATATGTAATAATAACAGTGGATGGTCCCTGATTTCTGCTACTCGGTGGTACAGCTGCTGCTGGGGATGGCCAGGAGCACTACTTGGACACACACAGCCACTTAGAGTGGAGGAGCCACCGCCAGCACCAGAAAACTGTTGATCTGATGATAAACTCACATAAACAAACGCTTCAAAGCCTGTATTTGGGCATTTGCTTCATTTCACAACTCTACGGAGAGCGTTAATTCCCCGAGTCAGTGGGAGATGTAAACACAACGTTTGCTGGACGCGGCGCTCGGGGGAGCTGCTGACAAACCAAGAGGGCAGAGGTTCCACTGGTTCTTCAAACAGCCGCTAAATTATTTACACAGCAGAGGCCAGGGTAATTCCTGCCCCGCTCCCAGCTGTGTCTGCTGCGGATTTCGGTGTTCAAGATAATGATGTGTGTAAGACTTGCAGGGTTGGTGCCTGGATCTGCAAATCCAGGCTTGAGCCCCTCTCCCAGTCAAGCACTGGACCAGGCTGCCCAGGGAGGTGGTGGAGTCACCATCCCTGGTGGGATTTAACAGATGGGCAGATGAGGTGCTGAGGGACATGGGTTAGCGGTGGAATTGGCAGTGTTGGGTTTATGGTTGGACTCAATGATCTTAAAGGGCTTTTCCAACCAGTATGATTCTGTGAATGAGCAGCTTGTTGGACGTGCTCTGGTGGGCAGCAGATCTGCTGGTATTTTCTGCATTTCTAGAAGAATCTTGTCTGTGGGAGAAGTTTTAAATGGTGATATCCTAGTGTGCCTTTGAGACATGTTGCAATGGGACTGGTCCTGTAGCTATGGCTGCAGGATCTGGGTTATCACTCCAGTTCTTTAGGAAGTTTTACCTGTAAGTAGAGCTCTGGGTGCTCAGAATCCAGTGCAGGATCAGGCCTGTCTTCTGAACTACTGACCAAGTTATTTTAATAAATAAACAAATTAAATTAATGCAGAAGTCCTTTAAAAAAAATAGCTATATCATCTCTGATGCTATTCAAGAGTGTTCACCTCGGTTGCTCCTTGCAAAGAGACAACCCAAGACCCTTGGAAAGAACTCTAGGAAGACCTGGAGATAAAGAGTCGGAGTCATGAGTGAATCTTGTGTACAGTGTGATGAAAAGCCAGATGGGGCTATGTTTCTTATGTAAATAAAAACTTCAAAAATCTTGGACAGAAGGAAAGATTCTTGTGCTTTTCCAGTGAAGCCACAGAAAAATTGGCTGGAGCAAAGCCCAGCCTGAGATGTGTGCTACATCGTGCCAGAAATAGAAATTCTTGTAGGGTTAAGGCTCTTGGTTGGAAAAGCAGTTAAGTGAATAGCAAGTGTGTTTTGATTTGGTATTTATGAAGTTATTTCATGTTCTCTGAAATGAAGAAACCAGTTTTAATATTGGAGAATAGGAGTGAGCAGAAGGAGTTTGGCTTGGGGGCAGGGGTCTGCTTCAGAAAATGATCTTTACAATTACACAGGAGAGTGAAAGTTGATTCTTTGCACCAGAGTCTGCATATCCCTGGGTCAGCAAAAGGCACTTAGAAAAGCAAATTCACCTGCAGAACAATTTATGGGTGTGAATTTTCAAGAAAATCTGAAACCCCTTTAGAAAATTGGAAGGTTCTGTGAAGTGGAAGAGGGTTGGAAGGTGTTCATGACCAGGAGGGATACAGTTCCCTCCAAACCCACGGAAGGGCAGAGCTTCTGCTTCAAAAATACAGCTGCAGATGGCTTTGGGAAAGCGTCTGTGAGAGAGGAGTTATCTAAAACTTCTTGCCAGGGGTTGGCATTGGGAATTCTATCCCTCCCTCAAAGCATTAAAGGTGTTGTGCAACTGTCAATAGCAATTCTCATGGAAAACTGAGGTTTAGAATATAGAGAAATAATATGCACATTCCTAAATTTTAAATACTGTACAGTAAATCTATATATATATGTGTTGCAAAGCATTTTTATTGTACCAGAGGTATATATTTTTTTTCCTTTTAATCTTTTTTTTTTTATGGTTATGGCAAGAGAAATGGCAGTGGCTTTTTCTGCCATGGGAAAGAATATTTAAAATAAAAGATTGCTGAAAATTAAATGAAAATTTTGCAAGTTACATTTTAACAATTACTGTTTTCTGTGTCTTATTTTAAAGTCTCTACATTCAGATTCCTCTTCCCTCTAATACGTTTTTATTTACACACAGCACCAGAGTGTAATATTAATGTAATAAATAATAATTTATAATGAGATAATAAAAATGTATCAACTTCTGTGCTGCTTTGACTGAGGGCAGCACCCAGAGTGGGCTGGGATGTTGGGGGATGTGGTGGCCCAGCCTCTCAGAGCTGGATTTGGTCCAACCAAACTGACTTTTGCTGTAGCCCAGTGTCCTTGTGCTCAGGGCACTGTCTGGGGACCCATCAGAACCAAACCACTTCTGATGGCACCTCGGTAGGTCTTGCAGAGGTGGAACAACCCAACAAATAGCAGCTGGGACCTGGGTAAGTCTGTGTTTCTGGTTACAAAATGCTTGTAAGACATGGGGAGGGAAGTGATGGTTTGGTGAGGACGATGTATTTGGGTGTCTTGTGTGGTCACGTATCACACAGGGGTTCCTGCGTGGAAAAGTCCAACAAGAATGACTTTTTCTACTTGTTTTTTGCTGTTTTTTTTAATTCTCAAAATAGGCACAAGATCTGCAGAGTGTTATTTAGCTCTAAAACCCCAGCTCTGGTGAGGAGGGAGCTTTGCCATCAGCTCAGCAAAAACCCAGCTCGAGGTGAGAGGCGAGGGTGGTTGTCCCCTGCTTGTGACACCCTGTCTGCAAATGCTGGTTGAGGTTTTCCTCAGGAACAGGGATTTAGAGGGAAATATGTGCCAAGAAACAGGATGTGTTATCATCATGAGGTGAGTTACAAATTGTGGCAGTTCTCTTGGCTGCCCACATGCCGGGAGTTGGGCAGAGGGACGAAGTTCTGTCGTGGTCCCGTGTCACTGTCAGAAATGGATAAAAAAGGCAAGTGAGCTGTTCGGTTTCTGGCTTGAAACTGGAGTTTTTTTCCTGCTGCATCAATTTGTGGTCCAATAGTGTCCCCTAGTGCTGAGTTATTCCTGGAGCAACTGCCTGTGACCTCATGAGGCTTCTTCTTTCTTTTTTAGATAGTCCCATCTCAGCTCCTCACCCGTATCATTGTCTCGTTTCCTCTGGTGTTGGGGACACTCAGTTTCCTCTCTCCCACCCCTGCCCACATTTGACTCCCTAACCTTTAGGTTTTCCCTCTCTGCCTTTCTCTTGTTTTTTCCTGTTTCCTTGGAGGGATGCTCAGGCTGGGAAGGATCCACCAGCCACAGATGGAGGTCAAGCAGCACCCATCCCCACATGGCCATTGGTCCCTGTATGGGGATCCCAGTGACCAGGGTCCTGCCCTGGGCTCCAACAGCACCATCCACCTCACCTAAAAAATGCTGTTTCTCCATTGAATGGCTGTCCCAGCGTGGAGTTCAGGCCTGCAAAGCTTTTGCTGGAAGCTGATGGTAACTACAGCCCTTTGGCATTGCAATGTCCCAACAGAAGTCCCGTTGTTTTGGTATTTGTTTGTCTGGGAAGGTTATTTCTAATGAAAACCAGTATAGCTCCAAAAGAAACCAGCACCCAGCATGAGGTCCTCACTGTGGCAATAAAATGGTCTTGCCTGTCTCCTACCAAAAGAGATAGGAACTCTGGAACCTACCAAAAGAGGTAGGAACTCACTGGAACAGGCTGCCCAGGGAGGGTGTGGAGTCTCCTTCTCTGGAGAGATTCAAGACCCGCCTGGATGCCTTCCTGTGTGATCTCATTTAGGTTCCTGCTCTGGAAGGGGGATTGGACTGGATGATCTTTTGAGGTCCCTTCAAACCCCTGACATTCTGTGAAAAGAAACAAGTGGTCACCTTCACAGGAACACAGGAACACTGTCCCACTCTAAGGTGTCCCTTGGGTTCTTGGTGAGGGAACCCAGAGCCAACATGGCACATGCCAGCCAGGAATATCCCAACTGAGGAGGAGGAGGAGGAAGAGGAGGAATGGGCATGTGGCTGTCGGTGCTGAAGAACAGGCCATGCCCTGTGCCAGCCTCTCACTTGGTCGCTCACCTTTTCATCACTGATGTGGCCTCCAGAGAAAAACCTTCCCCCTTCACCTCCTGCAGGATGGTTTTCAGGAGCAACTTCTATGCGAGGAAAGAGACCCACGTGGATGCTGTAACTGGCTAAAATGTGGTTTTCTTTGTGCTCATTTTCAGAGAGGGTCCGAAGCAGCCACCTGCTGCCAGAAGCTGACCACAAACGAGATTTCTCTTTGCAAAAATAACCCATCTTTCTGTTTCCAGAAGAACAGTACAAACCTTGATTTCCCATCAATCCTGGCCTTGACTGCTCTGCACATCATCTCAGCAGCTGCTCAGCACCAGCATCCCCTCCAGTGCACCGGGCGCTCCTCGGACACGCTGCCGGGACAGGTACTGTACAAAGGATTTCCAAGCAGGAATTTCTTTTGCTTTTTAGCTTTTCTTAATGTTCTTTCTTCAGTAATGGTAAAAAAATCACCTGACTGTTTGTAGGAAGAAGGGCGTTTTGTGATTTCTCTGAAGCCGCGTGTCCCCAGTCAGAATTGCTGGTTATTTCTGGAAATGTGAAATTTTGGGAGAGTTTTGAATCATAGAATGATTTGGGTTGGAAGGGACCTTTCTCCCCACATGCTTGTGTATGCTGGAACACACTATAAATCACTAAAAGTCACATTTCTAACACTCAGGGGCATGTCCACCTTGTTTACAAGCCTTCAGTGGTCATTTTCCCTCAGGCCATAAAAATATTTCCTTTTTTTTGGACACTTGTGACACTACAGCAAGTTGTCATTTGGGTTTTTCAT